TGATAGACAGCACAGAAAAAAAAAAAAAAAAAACTTTACTGGCTTAAATAATTATGATCACATCACCTATGGATAATAAGGAAACAGTGGCAGGCTGTCAACCCAACCTTCTGTATATTTAAATACTTAAAGGGGATGTGACCATATCTCAGTGGTGGTCAACTTTCTTGATATAAGGGACCTCAAGTGTAAACCCTGACATCACCAAAGGGCTGTACATAAGTGAATGCTACAGAAGACTTTCTGAGAATGCCCACAGTCAGCATTAGATCATAGACTATGAACATGCTATGCTACGGGAGAGGGTCAGAGCGCGCAGACATGCTACGTGGGAAGGTCAGAGCGCGCAGGCATGCAACAGCGGGAAGGTCAGAGCGCGCAGGCATGCAACAGCGGGAAGGTCAGAGCGCGCAGGCATGCAACAGCGGGAAGGTCAGAGCGCGCAGGCATGCAACAGCGGGAAGGTCAGAGCGCGCAGGCATGCAACAGCGGGAAGGTCAGAGCGCGCAGGCATGCAACAGCGGGAAGGTCAGAGCGCGCAGGCATGCAACAGCGGGAAGGTCAGAGAGCGCAGGCATGCTACGCGGGAAGGTCAGAGAGCGCAGGCATGCTACGCGGGAAGGTCAGAGAGCGCAGGCATGCTACGCGGGAAGGTCAGAGAGCGCAGGCATGCTACGCGGGAAGGTCAGAGAGCGCAGGAATGCGATAAGAGTTGTTGAAGACAGGAGACATGCTTCAGGAGACAGTCGCAAGCTAGAGACACATTACAAGAGACTGCTAGAGATATTATTATAGCCCCTTAACAAATCAATCCCTTAACATGTGTGCTCAATACTGACTCTCTCAGAAATCATCCATTATAATTGATCCCAAGAGAAAAAAAAATGGAAGAAAAAGTGATAGACAGCACAGAAAAAAAAAAGAAATCTTACTGGTTTAAATAATCACCTAGGTAAGGAAAACACAGGCTACTGCCTGCAGAGGCCCCAAGGGACGTACAATAAGTGCCAAAGGGCCACAGGTTCAGCCCCGCTCCCTCTCTAAAAGCAAACTTATGAGCAGCATGCTGACTACATCCCACATGGTGTACATTACTCTGATGGTTACAATGAAAGAAGTTGGTCACCCAGGTAAGAGGCCATTCTCCCTAAAGCTCCCCACATGTTACAATCTGATTGTACAACAGACGTCACATCTACCAACACCTGTATAGTACAAGGACTGGCCTGATTGGATACAAATGGACAGGATAGATAGAGTAGGAGCTCGTATTACATGGTTTTGGTAAATTGAAAGGCGATTGTATGGTCCCATGAAGGTGTATGTGCTGACTATAGCTACAGTCTCTGGTCTTAGTCCATTAAAGAGCCACCAGATCCTGGCAACCAATCAGGTCTTTCCTTTCATTTTAAAATCCAAAATGCCACTGAAAAGCTGGATGCTATGGACCTGTGCGCAGTAACCCATGGCAACCGGTGGGATTTCAGTAGCTCCCTGTGAACTTATTTGCCATGAGAGATGTCACATGACCTCTCCTGCACTCTGGGGCTCCTCCATAGCAACCAGTCAGTTACCTACAGCCAGGCAGCTACAGAAATGAAAGGATGGATCCTATTGGTTGCTAGGGACAACAAAGAGACTTTGCAGCACTTTTGTCACCTGAGAGGCCAGCACATGTGCACCTGTCATAGTGGGCACCATAGCCAGGGACAGCAGGGAAGGGCATGCTGGGGCTTGCAGTTCCCCCTGTACCCCAATGAGGAGGAAGCAATGGTGGGGAGGAGGAAGGGGGGGAGGTGACACAGAGGGGGGACATGTCTCCATCATCACCCACTGCAATGTGACTAAGAACAAGAAGCTGGTAGCTACCTTTCTCCTCTTCCCAGGGCCTTTTCTTCTTGTTGCTGTTGGGCATGCTGTTGGTGCTGTTGTTGGATTTGGTCTGTAAGTTCCCCAGGCTAGCAGCAAATAGTGTTTGTGAACTCGGGGGAGAAAAGACACAATAGAGGAGCTGTGCAGGTGGAGGGGGGACTAGTCACAACACCCTGAATGGGAACACGAGCTGCTGATGTGATTTGGATCAGTGATGAGGAGGATCCCCGCAGCACAGCAGACACAGGCAGGAGATTCTCCCCGGCTCTGACCACCTCCTCCTCCGCCTGTCAAACGGGTCACACCTCCCACTACCCCCAGCACATACCCGCACGCAACGCCCCCTCCGCGCCGATGGCACTCTGCTATTGGCTGCGGAGCTGGGCTCGTCAGCGGGGAGGCGGAGCGGACGGAGAAGGTTGCGCTGTGCGCAGGTGCGTGGCGTGTTTTGGAGGGCGGAGACACGGGACGTGTGTCTGTGTGTATAGTTACAGGAAGGCAGTGTGCGGAGTCCGGCCACAGGGCGGGGGGATGCAAATGAGGGTGACGTCACGGGGTGGGTAGCGGCACACCGGACAGGTGACAGCTGTCTTAATAACTTATCAATGGTGATCAATGAGCGCGAGTTCATCAGACGATTCCGTGCCTAGAGCTTCTACATAAACCGACCAGAACTTTCTAGGTCTAGTTGTCAGGCAGTGCTCAGCTGTCAGCACTTTGGGGGAATTTCATCAAAATGGAGCAGACTCGACCTGGGGCAGCTGTGCATCGTAACCAATCAGCTTGTTCAGTTTATTCAAGGATAAGTTCATCTTTTCACAAAAAATAAATGCACATTTTTTGCAGGTAAATAATGTGCATTTATTATTTTTTGTTTGTGGAGCCTCTAGTCCAGGGGTGTCAAATTGGCGGTCCTCCAGCCAGGGGTGGACTGACAACTCATGGGGCCCCCGGGCAATAGGGGATCATGGGGCCCCTGTGTCCTTGCCCAAACTAAAAAAAGCATATGAAAAAGGCGCCAGGGGCATCTCATGGGGCCCCCTACTGACCCCGGTCCCTCGGGAAGTGCCCGAGTTTCCAAATGGTCAGTCCGCCCCTGCCTGCAGCTGTTGCCAAACTACAAGTCCCATCATGCTTCTACCTTTGGGAGTCATGCTTGTAACTGTCAAAATTGCAATGCCTCATGGGACTTGTAGTTTGGCAACAGCTGGAGGGTCACCAGTTTGACACCCCTAGTCTAGACTAAAGCATTGCACCAGCAGGTCTCCCCCTGACCTGCCAGTAAATCTACTACCTGTCAGTATACTTTGCATCCTGTATGAGCAAGCAGATACTACTGACAGGAAGGCTCAATGAACTTCGCGGTGCTGTGGTAGTTCATTGAAAACTACAAGCCAATAGCTGCAAAGGCTGCTGGGACTTGTCGTTTACCCATTCACAGAATACTGTGAATTTGACATCTAGCAAGGGAGGAGAAGGTCCCCACTAGCTGCCACAGCAGGGAGCGTGGAGGAGCAGGAGCCAATCTAATCATAACATGTCACACCCGGAGCCTGGGTTCACACTGATGTGGTGTGGAATTCACAGCAATTTCTGTGCGAAAACCATACCGCATCATGCTCGTGCCCCGTTCATTTGAACTGCTGTGGATGTGTATGTTAAGTTAACAACACCCCAAAATCAGTCCGCAAAACACGGTGCGATGTGCAAAATCGGACGGCATGGATGTGAATTGGCGTCACCACCTCATCCTTTTAAAACTGAACACATTAATTACACAGTACACTGAGGCCAATTTAATGCCTCCAAGTGAGTTTAATTGCCACCTTAATCAGCCACAGATCCTGTGTAATTAATGTGTTCAGGTTTAAAGGGATGAGGTGGCAACCCTAGTGTGAATGCAATGCAATCCAATTCTAGTGCCGGCCAAAAAAAAAAAAAAAGGGTCCTGCACCTTTTTGATGCCATTAGAGCCATACAAAATGTATGGCTCAAATCGCACCACACAAAATTCGCATGTGATTTGCACAGGAATGCAGTGCAGTTCCTCTGCAAATCACATGCAATATGCCACACCGCATCAGTGTGAACTCAGGCTAAATATGGATGTAACATGTTACGAAAAGTTATCCTTTAAGCCTATTTTCACACTGTTCCGTTGCAGTGTGATTTAAAAAGTTGCGCCTGCTGTACTGTTTGCGTGTTCCCACATGTTTGGCAGCCATGGGCTGTTAGGAATTAAAGAAACATACACATTGTGATGTAAAATGGCCCAAAAGATGGGTAGCCAACAGGACCAGCTTGTGATCATGTGATCACTGTGACTCAAACCCGCCTGAGCTCATCGCAAGTTACTGTGCACAGTTAATCCAGATTCTGCCTGCTCCATTTTTAGTGAATTCATACGTGCACTATACAGATCATACAGTAAATCCTTCTTCATGTTTATCTGCAGTGTGTGACATTCCATGTGTAAAAATACAATACGAGGAATAAAAAGTAGCAATATCATAGGATCAGGAGTGCAAAAATTGTTACATTGGTGTTTGCTGGTGACATCTCTAGATTAAAACTGAGAGTCTAACCCTTCTCACTCTATCCAAAACTATAAAGATTTAAACTTTCAGAACTTTGAGTTGTACAGAACCTTTAACTCAGTACAATCTAAGGGCCTTTTTACATTGATCTATTTTTATGTGTTTTGAAGGTTAAAAAAAGCTGAAGAAAAAGATATCCCTTTAAATCCTATGGAGCGTGTGTGTGTATTTTTTTAAAAGTCCTGCATGCTACATTTTTGGTGTGTGTTTAAAAAACACATTAAAATGCACCTCCCAATTGAAATGAATGGAAAACGCACCCTTGATGTGTTTTTGAGTCACATGTACAAGGCTCAGAGGTGCATGATTGGAGTCAAGAGTCCAGAAAACGCAGCAAAAAAAGCATATTTGTCTTCACCATGTTTTTTTTCAACAGAGAAATGTGAAAGAGCCCTAAGTTGTCAAGGATTGCACAGCACAGTGTACACTATATTGTCAAAACTATTGAGACACCCCTCCAAATCATTGGATTCAGGTGTTCCAATCACTTCCATGGCCACAGGTGTATAAAATCATCACCTAGGGATGAAGACTGCTTCTACAAACATTTGTGAAAGAATGGGTCGCTCTCAGGAGCTCAGTGAATTCAAGAGTGGTACCGTGATAGTCAATCAATGAAATTTCCTTGCTACTAAATATTCCATGGCAGGGGCGGACTGACAACTTATGGGGCCCCTGTGACCTTGCCCAGACTCAAAAAAGCCTATGAAAAAGGTACCAGGGGCATCTCATGGGGCCCCCTACTGACCCCGGGGCCTCTCGGGCAGTGCCCGAGTTTCCAAATGGTCAGTCTGCCCCTGTTCCACGGTCAACTGTCAGTGGTATTAAAGCAAAGTGGAAGAAACTGGGGGAACAACAGCAACTTTGCCACAAAGTGGTAGGCCACATAAAATGACATAGCGGGGTCAGCACATGCTGACGTTTACAGTGCACAGAAGTCACCAACTGTCTGCAGAGCCAATAGCTAAAGACCTCCAAACTTCATGATGCTTTCAGATTCATGGAATGGGTTTCCATGGCCAAGCAACGACATCCAAGACTTACATCTCCAAGTGCAATGCAAAGGGTCGGATGCAGTGGTGTAAAGCCCGCGGCCACTGGACTCTAGAGCAGTGGAGACGTGTTCTGTGGCGTGACGAATCACGCATCTCTTTCTGGTAATCCGATGAACTCGTCTAACTTTGCCAGAAGAATGATACCTGCCTGACTGCATTGTGCCAAGTGTTAAGTTTGGTGGAGGGGAGATCATGGGGTAGGGTTGTTTTTCAGAGGTTGGGCTTGACCCCTCAGTTCCAGTGAAGGGAATTCTTAAGGCTTCAGCATACCAAGGCATTTTAGACAATTTCATGCTCCCAACTTTGTGGGAACAGTTTGGGGATGGCCCCTTCCTGTTCCAACATAACTTCGCACCAGTGCACAAAGCAAGGTTCATAAAGACATGGATCATCGAGTTTGGGGTGGAGGAACTTGACTGGCCTGCACAGAGTCCTGACCTCAACCCATAGAACACCTTTGGGATGAATTAGAGTGGACACTGCGAGCCAGGCCTACTTGGCTGACATCAGTGCCTGACCTCACAAATGCGCTTCTGGCAGAATGGTCAAACATTCCCATAGACACACTCCTAAACGTTGTGGACAGCCTTGAAGCATGAACAGGTGAAGCTGTTATAGCTGCAAAGCGTGGGTGAACTCAATATTGAACCCTATGGACTAAGGCTGGGAGGGACGCTATGTGTCACCTCGCATATGCTCATACCTGACCGTTTAGGTGGAGTCCACTCCGGGTTTTCGAGGCAACAGTTAAGCAGGTGGGTCCGGACCAGAGTTTGGGCTCCACTGATGACCACCAACAGGTGGTATAAAAAAAAGGGCAGGGTTGGAGCAAGGAGTTGCTCGTGGCCTGGGACTCAGAGAGGTGTTCTGAGAGAGCTGTGTGTATGGACTATACCTGCAAGAAAAGGTTTTGCTGTTACTTTGTTTTGGTGACAGGGAGAAGCCCTTCACCTTTGAGAGAGGAATCATCTTTTGTTTAGTTAGTGCCTGGATGGCAAGGGTTTATTTTCATGTTCTGTTTATTTTATGCAAACCTTTTAAATAAAGCTGACAACCAGTCAGATTTTGATGAAAGCCTGCTGTGCGGTCTACCTTTGTCCCAGGGAAGGAGATCCCCCACCTGAGCTAACCCCACATATGGTGGAGGATGCGGGCAACTTCCTGAGCAAGTGGGAAGATGGAGGAAATAATAAGAGCCTTGCTGCAGGCCAATGCAGCACAACGGGAGACGAATCGCCAGTTTGCGGAGGCCCAAGAAGCAGACCGAGAGCTCCTTAAGCAGGTGGCCCAACACCTCTTAGAATTAAAGAAGGAATCTGCAGATCCGCTGCCAGTGGAGCAGAAAATGGCACGGGCCAGCTATGTTTTGCAGAAGATGACACCTGCGGATGATGTGGAGGCCTACCTCTCAACTTTTGAAAGGGTTGCTGTTCGGGAAGGATGGAAAAAGGAGCAATGGGCAGGACTGCTTGCACCATTTTTGACGGGTGAATCCCAAAAAGCCTATTATGACCTGGAACCAGGGGATGCCCAGGACTATGAAAAACTGAAGGCTGAGGTCCTTGCACGCCTGGGTGTCACCATTGCAGTCCGGGCTCAGCGGGTGCATCAGTGGCATTTACAGGGCTGACAAACCACCCAGATCTCAGATGTTTGATTTGATACATCTCTCCAAAAAGTGGCTCCAGCCGGAGGTATTGTCAGGCCCTCAGATTGTGGAGCGTGTGGTCATGGACCAATATTTACATGCGCTCCCTGCCACTTTGAGGAAGTGGGTTGGCCGTGGAGACCCTAAATCTGCAAACGAGCTGGTGGACCTGGTGGAGAGATATGCAGCCGCTGAGGACTTTTTTCCATTCACCTGGGCCGTACCCCAATGTCACTAGGGGTGGAAAACTATCCGGAAGATCCGGTAAGACTGTTCCATGGGCCAAAGGCTCAGGAAAAAATAAGACTATTGTGTCAGATAATGAAACTGTAGGCTTAGGACCTAGAGACTGGCCAAATAGGTCAGGAAGGTCCCCAAAGCCATTTAGAGGTCTAAGCACTGAACATATAATATGTTATCGTTGCCATGCGTTAGGTCATATTGCTGCAAGCTGTCCTTTAAATGATGAACCTATGCAATGTGAAAATGCTTATTTAGGAAAACGCATGTCTCTTTTTGCACAGGTGGTATGTACTGCAGCATGTCAGAAACGCATGGAAAAGCAAATGTGTGTGATTTGCCATTGATGAAAAGCCCAGTAACTGCTCTGCTAGACTCGGGTAGTGTTGTGACCTTAGTTAAAGGTGATTTGGTAAACCCTGCCAGCTTACACCCTAGCACGATTGTTGGGGTTATTTGTATTCATGGTGATACACGTAATTACCAGACTGCTCTGGTGGAGATTGGTACTCCCTGGGGCCCTGTGACCCATTCTGTGGGGGTGGTGCCCTCTCTGCTTCATGAAGCCATAGTGGGAGAGATTTTCCCCATTTCTGGAAGTTATGGGATAAGGAGGGGAGTCAGGAGGACCGAGCTCCCCCTGCTGGGGAAACACTGAAAACTCCTGAACTCACTCCTGACCCCTTTTGACGGCAAGGTGGAAGGGGAAACTGTTGGTGTGTCCGAGAAAGGCGTAGATCTTTTCCCTTTCTCTGTAATGGCGGGGGAGCAGGAGGAGTTGGATCCAACCCCAGACATTGAGGATATAGAACAAGAGATGATCGCTGGCTCTAGTGAGAGTGGACAGAATGTGGTGCCTGACCTAGAGGTCAGAAAAGAGGATTTTTTGTACGGAACAACTGAAAGATTCCACACTTAATAGAGCCCGTGAAAACATTAAAATGATTGGCGGGGGGGGAACCAGTGGAAAATGATGTAGTGGTGTCTTTTCCCTACATGGCTCTTAACAATAACTTGCTGTATCAAGTGGTAAAGCAGGGGGAGGAGGTGGTAGAACAGTTAGTGGTCCCCAAACCCTTTCGCCGGATGGTACTGGATTTAGCCCATGGGCATATAATGGGTGGACACCTGGGTGTAGAGAAAACAAAGGAGAGAATAACCCAGAGATTCTTTTGGGCCAGGCTTACATGGAGACGTCAAAGCGCATTGTGAGTCATGTCCGGAATGTCAATATTCTGCGCCCTCACCCCATTTTCGCAGTCCGCTAGTACCCTCTACCCATAATTGAAGTACCGTTTGAAAGAGTGGGCATGGACCTAGTGGGTCCAGTAGTAAAGTCTGCCCAGGGCCATCAGCACATACTGGTTATACTTGACTATGCCACCCGGTATCCTGAAGCCATCCCCTTGCGTAATACCTCCGCTAAAAATATCGCCAAAGAGCTTGTCCGGGGTGTTTAGTCGTGTAGGTATCCCAAAGGAGGTATTAAACGGATCAGGGCACGCCATTTATGTCTAGAGTTATGAAAGAGTTATGCAAATTTGTTCAAAATCTCCCATCTCCTTACCTCGGTCTACCACCCCCAAAACCGATGGGCTTGTGGAAAGGGTTTAACAAGACCCTTAAGAATATGTTAAAAAAGGTGGGTGGACAAAGATGGGAGAAATTGGGATTTTTTGCTACCATATCTCATGTTTGCTATACGAGAAGTACCTCAGGCATCTACAGGATATTTCACCTTTTGAATTACTGTATGGTAGACATCCCAGGGGATTGCTAGATGTCGCAAAAGAAACCTGGGAGGGAGAGACCACGCCCTATAGAAGTGTCATCGAGCATATCTCACAGATGCAGGATAGAATCGCAGCTGTCATGCCACTTGTTCGGGAACACATGGAGCAAGCCCAGGAGGTCCAGAGAAGGGTTTATAACCGGGGTGCCAGGATCCGTACCTTCAACCCTGGGGATAGAGTGCTGGTGCTAGTCCCCACCGTGGAAAGTAAATTCCTCGCAAAGTGGCAAGGTCCCTTTGAAATTAGGGAGAAAGTGGGGAAGTAAATTATAAAGTTTACCAGCCAGGAAAAAGGAAACCCGAACAAATCTATCATGTGAATCTCTTAAAACCTTGGAAAGACAGGGAAAGTTTGTTGGCAGTACCAAGACCCCAAAAGGACGTGGTTCCCGTGGCCCCTCAGGTACCTATAACGGAAAACCTTGTCAGTAGCCCAACAAAATGATGTTAAGGAGTTTGTGAGGAAAAATGGAGATTTCTTCTCCCACCTACCTGGACTGACGACTGTCATACAGCATGACATAGTTACCCAGCCCGGGGTCCGCGTAAATGTCAAGCCCTATAGAATACCCGAGGCCAGGCGGGAAGCGGTGGCAAAGGAAATAAAGGGACATGTTAGAGTTGGGAGTGATTGAGGAATCTCACAGTGAGTGGTCGAGTCCCATAGTGTTGGTCCCAAAACCAGATGGAACAATTCGTTTCTGTAATGATTTCAGGAAACTGAACAGTGTGTCCAAGTTTGATGCGTACCCGATGCCTCGGGTGGATGAGCTCATTGACAGGTTGGGAACGGCTCGGTACATAACCACCTTAGATCTGACCAAAGGCTATTGGCAGATTCCTTTAACGGAAGCTGCAAAAAGAAAAGACAGCATTCTCCACCCCCGAGGGGTCCTTTCAGTATTAAGCGGATGCCGTTTGGTTTGCATGGGGCTCCTGCATCATTCCAAAGGATGATGGACAAGACGTTGAGACCCACATCGCCAATATGCAGCTGCCTACTTGGACGATGTTGTCATCCACAGTCCCGACTGGGAATCTCATTTGTCCCCTCTTGCAAGCGGTCGTAGATTCGCTGCGGGAAGCAGGTCTTACCCGCCAACCCCAGAAAGTGTGCCATTGGCTTAGAGGAGGCCAAATATCTTGGCTACATCATTGGTCGAGGTCTCATTAGGCCTCAGATCAATAAAATTGAGGCAATTCAAAAGTGGCCCCAACCTGTAAATAAAAAACAAGTCCGGGCATTTCTTGGAATCACGGGGTACTACAGTCGGTTTATCCCCAATTTTGCCACCATTGCAGCCCCACTGACAGATCTGACAAAAGGTAGGGGGTCAGTCATGATTAAGTGGAATCCTGAGGCGGAGACCGCATTTCAAAGGCTGAAACAAGCTCTCTGTGCTCAACCTGTGCTTGTGACTCCAGATTTCACAACAGAGTTTGTGGTACAGACTGATGCCTCTGATGTGGGACTAGGTGCTGTCCTGTCCCAAATCAGAGATGGGGAGGAGCACCCTGTGGTCTTCCTAAGTAGAAAGCTCAACAAACATGAGAGAAACTATGCCATTGTGGAGAAGGAATGTTTGGCCATCAAATGGGCCTTGGAGGCCCTGAAATATTACCTGTTAGGAAGACCGTTCAAGTTGGTTACTGATCATGCCCCGCTCAAATGGATGTGTGATAATAAGGAGAAAAACAGTCGAGTGACAAGGTGGTTTTCTCACGCTACAAGTGTTCAAATTCACAGTGGAACACAGAGCGGGGAAGCTGCAAAGTAATGTAGATGCCCTCTCCCGGGTCCATTGTCTGGTTGGGACAGTTGCTCAGCCGCAGGGGCTTGAGCAGAGGGGGGGGATATGTGACAGGATGAACGGCGAGGTGATAGAGGGACGCTATGTGTCACCTCGCATATGCTCATACCTGACCGTTTAGGTGGAGTCCACTCCGGGTTTTCGAGGCAACAGTTAAGCAGGTGGGTCCGGACCAGAGTTTGGGCTCCACTGATGACCACCAACAGGTGGTATAAAAAGGGCAGGGTTGGAGCAAGGAGTTGCTCGTGGCCTGGGACTCAGAGAGGTGTTTCTGAGAGAGCTGTGTGTATGGACTATACCTGCAAGAAAAGGTTTGCTGTTACTTTGTTTTGGTGACAGGGAGAAGCCCTTCACCTTTGAGAGAGGAATCATCTTTTGTTTAGTTAGTGCCTGGATGGCAAGGGTTTATTTTCATGTTCTGTTTATTTTATGCAAACCTTTTAAATAAAGCTGACAACCAGTCAGATTTTGATGAAAAGCCTGCTGTGCGGTCTACCTTTGTCCCAGGGAAGGAGATCCCCCACCTGAGCTAACCCCACAGTACATAGACTACACGGATCATACAATGCAACTGGCTTCCGCTATATCTGGAAAGTTCCCTTTGTAAAAATAAAAAAGCAAGATCACAGGATCAGAAAAGTGCAAACATCATGAAGGAATTTCTTACATTGTCTTCACTGATGTGTATGTATAGCCAAAATGTTATTTTTAGTTTTGGACAGAGTAGGGAAGGGTTAAACCTCTGTGCTGTGCACCCGTTAATCAATACATTCATCTGAATGAGCCTTCAGGTCTCTTACAGATGGGCAGTTAGTAAAAACTGACAGCTGAGCTGCAGTTTTACCAACTCTCAGCCCCTACCTGAACTGTAAACTAACAGCCAGATGGGCTGTTCACATGCCGCAGGTGCAATGGTTTGCTTTGCAGCCTCAGGGACTCATGGTGCAGAGTTTGACAAGTGGCACCGCATGTCCAACTTGCCCATTAGATTAAATGGAGTCACGCTGCAACCAAATGCAATGCACACGATTGTGGCACGGAACTGAGGCTTTATAGGGTTAAATGAGGTGGTGGGTGAGGAGGTGATATGCTTCCTCACCGCCTGTCAAGTGCCCTCTGAAAAGCAATCTGAACACAGTTTGCTCTTCAGAGAACGCCACACTCCACCGCTAGTGTGAAAGAGCCCTTACAACCATTACATTCATTTATATGTGTAGCACCCTTTAGTGTACATAGTTGTTGAGAGTAGTTTGAGGCTTGCTAGAAGCCTGGGTTTAGACACAGGATTACTTCAGGTTTAGCTGGAAGGCTCTACAGGTCTGTCCAATGGTGCCTCCCCTGCTCAAGAAGCTTGGAGAAGATTCTAGAAGTCAATAGGCAGAGGTGAGGAGGGGCTGATCTGAATATTTATGGGATTCAGACCAATCCCTGGCAGGAGGCCTGGCAGTTTGGCAGACAAGCCCATAAATAGGACAGAACCTGGCAAGCAGGGGAGTCAGGTGGAAGGTGGGCTGGAGAAGTGCTGCTTTGTAGCCTGGGAAGGGGCCCCAAAGAAGTGGGATTCTGCCTCTAGGCTGGAAGAAAGAGAAAAGCTAAATGGAGGGAGCTCCACTACCCTGCAGTCCACCGGGGAAGGAAAGCCTGCATAGCTTGAAGAGGAATCCCAAATCCCCTTTACCCTAATAAATAAATAAAAAAAAAACAAGCCCATGGGCTGTTTCTTGTGTCTGGAATATAGGTGTTGCTTGGCTGTGCAGGAAGTAAAGGGGAACCCAAAACTAGTGGCTCTCAAGGAGGTAGTGTCTCTTAGATTGTAAGCTCCAAGGAGCAGGGCCCTCCTATCCCTCTTGTATTGAACTGTATTGTTGCTGTATTGTCTCCTGTTAAAGTGTCTCCCGTTACTGTCCCCCAGAAAAGATCCCTTTTCAGCTGCCTCCTGCATGCCTGTTTATCAGTCTCTGAAAAGTGGTCTACCATGGATCACTCTAAGGCTACATTCACACTAGCTTTGTCAGCAGGCGTCAGACAGGTGTTTGGGAAGTGTTTTTAATGCTTCTCAAACGCCTATGAAAATTCTGCACATGGCAGCACACAGTGCTGTTCACACTGAAGGGTTAGCGTTGCGTCGTGGCAATACTGACGCCTCATGCTGAGTGAGGAGGAGTTGAAGCCTCCCATTCAAGTCTATGGTGACGCTCCTCAAACGCCTGGCAGGCATTTGCAGGGCGGTTGTGAGGCGTTTAACTTCATTATAGGCATTTGTGGAGCGGTTTTAACTCTTGGCAAACACCTATCAAATGCCTCAAAAATGCGCATAGGGCGTTTGAGGAGCATTAACAACACGTCCCAAACGCCTGGCAAACGCTATAGGGACATTTGGCAAGAGTTCTAAATAAGTCTAGTGTGAACGAGCCCTAAAGAGACCAACACAGATGCAAATGAACACTAAGACAGTCTATTCTATTTGACACATGAAAAAATATACCTCCACTCCTCTCTGGGAGCGCAGCACACCTCAACGTCCAGTGCATATTTATGTGCTGTGATGCACTGAAGGGCAGATGCCTATTATGGCACTGTTGAGGTTTCTCTTAGGGCTCTTTCATATACACAGGCTGCCCACCTGAATACTGGCATTGCAGCTTAACAGAGCTGTATACATTGGGAAAAAAATTATTTTGTATATTATTATGTTATTTATTTATATAAAAAAAAATCTTAGATTGTAAGCTCGAAAGAGTAGGGCCCTCGATCCCCTCATGTTTTGCATTGTGTTGTTATTGTTCTGTCACATGTTCTGTCCCCCATTGTAATGTACAGCGCTGAGCTAACTATTGGTGCTTTATAAATACTGTATAATAATAAATGCTTTTTTTTCTTTCTTGTGGTTTTTTTTTTTTTTAATAGTTCACATAACCTCTGCTCTCAGCTGCTTAGGTGGATTAGAGTGGTGGGGGAGGGAGAGGCGTGTCAGCAGGAGGCAGAGAAACACCAGTACACTGATCTTTATAGTGAAGAGCTGTGCAGGGGGAGTGTCAGTCTGACTGCTGAGTTACAGGCAGGGGTGGACTGACAACTCATGGGGCCCCCGGGCAATAGGGGATTATGGGGACCCCGTGTCCTCGTCCACACCCAAAAAAGCCTATGAAAAAGCCAATGAAAGGTACCAGGGGCATCTCATGGGGCCCCCTACTGATCCTGGGCCCTTGGGCAGTGCCCGAGTGGCTAAATGGTCAGTCCGCCCCTGGTTACAGGCAGGCTGTAATCCCAAGTAGAATGCAAAGAAGCAAACTGACCACACTGGGATGCACTCAGGGGCGGACTGACAACTCATGGGGCCCCCGGAAAATAGGGGATCATGGGGCCCTTGTGTCCTTGCCCAAACTCAAAAAAGCCTATGAAAAAGGTACCAGGGGCATCTCATGGGGCCCCCTACTGACCGCGGGCCCTCGGGCAGTGCCCGAGTTTCCAAATGGTCAGTCCGCCCCTGGTACATGCACTGCTTTTGGTGCGATTTTTGCATAGACATCTGTATCAGATGTCTTGCAAATCACACCTCAAATCAGCATGCCATCTGACTTTGAAATTGCACAACTTCACTGTAAGTCACAAGATTTCAAAGTAGGGTTTAATGTGACTTGGGGTGTAACACAACATTTCAGTTTTGTCATGCATGGTATGCAGGGCAATTAAACCCATTAAGAGTCTGTGGACATTTAGGCCTGCTGTCTGCTAACAGACCTCTGTTCTGGTCTCAGATTTGCTGTCAATCGTAAATAGCTCAGTTAAAACACATTCCTGTCTGGGTGGTTATCAGCAAAGTACCCGAAAAATTCATTGCATTTCATAACTTCTGGAATAATAACAGTGCAGCCAGAATAATTACATATTTACCTTATCAGTGAATTAGTAGCGTTTTGAGCCCAAACCCACTATCCTAGGAAGTACCCGGAGCAGAACCGGCCCAATTCCTCTCCTAAGTGGAGCAGACATCTGACATATCTCATATTTTTTATCCAATCAAAAGGTAGTTTCACACTGGACTATATGCAAGTTAGCGAACTGTAACATGTAGGTATTCAGAGATAACAATACCTATAGAAAACTGGATCTGTGGCATGATCGTACACACGAAGACATCCCATGGCCAACCCTCAGCTCAGATCAGTCAACACTCCCTCACAATCAAGAAAAGAAGGGCTGCCCTGCAGTTGAAAGCTCTCTTGTACCATTAAAAGACCTGTCAAGTAGACAGCCACTGTAACATCTTGATCATTGATTGGAGTCTGCTGAAACAGGACTTGATCAGTATTTTCATTTTTCAACCCTTTTGTTTTGCTGCTGCATTGTTGTGTCTTTGTTACCTTTTTTGTTATGCCCTTTTTCTGTAAATATTTTATTTGCACCCTTTTCACTTTTCATTATTAAACATTATTTTGAAAAGTGTTAAATTGCCTTTAATGCAGAACTTAAAGAATCCCTGTCCCTTGAAGAGTGCTACTGTATTGTAAATCTCTGGATATACTGTATCTGTGGTGACAGTGTGTGTTACAGACGTTTATTTAAAGTCATAATTGCTAATATTGTGAACGTTTACTATATTTTTAATAAAAGTAGTTGATGGCAGTAAAACGTTAATTACTTAGTTGGCATTTAGAGTGTGATCCCGCAAGCTGGAAAATCTTTGTGCAGGGTGCGGTTGAGAGTGTCATTGTTGCATATCAGTGACAGTGCTGTGTGAGTTGACCAGCCAATGTTTCAACTGAGTGAAAGAGAGCTGATCTGTGTGTGTGTCCTCTTACTTTTTTTTTTTTTGCTGCTGTGATCCAACTTCTATTTGGATGGTGGCTATGTTCATTCTCAATGGTTACACTATAATTACTCCCAAGATGGACTAGGGCAGGGTTCACAATTTCAAGTTCTGAGATACTAGCTAGGCCTTAAGAGGTGATTGCTACCAGTTGCCCTAACCACCCCCTGCCCCGCCCCCTCTAATTCCACCCCTAAACACGCCCTCTTAAATTATCTCATGAAATTACACTGTTAAATGTTTTATGAAGAATAAAGTTTCAAAAATAAATATATACCCCCCCTTCACACCCCTTCCACCCCACAGCTATATCCTCTACCCCTTTCACACATCCCTCCTCCCCTCCCCCCCCCAGCCATGTCCTCTACCCCCCCCCCCCCCCCATCATGGCCATGTCCTTTACCCCCCTTCACAACCCGTCCACCCCCCCAGATCATCCTGTCCCCAGTAAAAAACCCCCAGGTCAGTCTTTTCCCAGTAAATTCCCCCCCCCCCCCCTCCCAAGGTCAGTCTATCTTCTGTAAACCCCCCCCCCCCTTCCTGCTAGTCAGTCTGTCCCCAGTAAAATTTACGCCCACCCAGGTCAGCCTGTCCTAGTTTGGGGCTTTTATTGTTTTCAAAAGTGAAAGAAAAACAAATTTTGATCATCATTAGAACAGTAAAAAGTGGACAATGGTGACAACCTGGATTCCCTCACTTTGGAGGAATCTCCTCCCACTTTCTGATTAGTTACTGGATATGAAGTGAAGAGAAATCTCCCCAATGGGACATAGATGGCAAAAAAACCTGTGAGGGGTCAAATGGGAGAAAAACAAGTTCTGCCTTTGGTTGTACTATAAAAAAAAGAGTGAGAATATTTAGGCAGCATAGGTCCCTGTATAGCTCAGACTTGGCCCTGTGACTAATATTAGAGAAGTCACCTTCAGGCAGCTCCACAGTGTGGGCTCTCCTGAGGGATTGGATGAGGCAGTTGAGTTGCTTCATAACTCTCTCCATGCTAGGGGAGCTCAGCTCCCACCAGGACAATTCTCCGCCACCAGCTCTCTCTCCTATTCACAGGGAGACGAGCCTCCAGATCACACCAGTTCAGCTGCTTCGGCTCCCGCAAGACTGCAGAGGGCGGCGCAGCTCCCTGTCCACCGGAGCTCTATGTTAGCAGCTCTGCCAGGTCCAGCAGCTCTGTGAGCGGATAAGAAGAGCCCTGCCGCTTCCGACCAGAGCTGTGCCACACACAGTGTACAGAGAGCACCCCAAGGACTCCATTACCCACAATGCACTGTGCAGTAATTTAGGACGGTGATTGAAATGCTTAGCCTAGGCTCCTTATTGGTGATTCTGACAGCTTGGCATGCCCAGTCATTTCCTGTGCATAGAGAAGAGGGACAAAGGGGCACATCCTTCTTCAGATATTGCCGCCACTTGCAAGCAGGCAAATGGAAATTTTGAGGCCTGAACTAGGGACTGTGGATTATGGATTTGTAGAGTGCATAGAGCAATATTCATGACTGCAACTAGAATTCACTGCTTGTTTCAAACCAGCAGAAGTGAGATGGAAAACGAGAGGTTTTGGAGCTCAGAGAGGACATTACAAGGAAGCAGAAAAACACAGTAAGAACCAACTTCAAGAAAAATACTATAGATCACGGGCCATTATGTAATAGATGTTCATGGATTATTTTTGAAAAATAAGGACATTGTTTAGTGTCACTAGTGTCACTAATAAATGCCATCCATTTAACAAGCCTGCTGGAAGGTGAACCTCTGCCCTAGTCTCGTCTTTTGCAGACTCTAACAGGTTTTTCTTCTAAGATTGCCCCATATTTGGCTCTATCCATCTTCTCATCAACTCTAACCAGCTTCCCCATCCCTGCTGAAGAAAAGCATCCCCACAACATGATGCTGCCACCACCATGTTTCACGGTGGGGATGGTGTGTTCGGGGTGATGCGCAGTGTTAATTTTCCGCCACACATAGCGTTTTGCTTTTAGACTAAATAGTTCAATTTTGGTTTCATCTGACCAGAGCACCTTCTTCCACATGTTTGCTGTGCCCCCCATATGGCTTCTCACAAACTGCACTTCTTATGGCTTTCTTTCAACAATGGCTTTCTTCTTTCCACTCTTCCATAAAGGCCAGATTTGTGGAGTGCACGACTAATAGTTGTCCTGTGGACAGATTCTCCCACCTGAGCTGTAGATCTCTGCAGCGCCTCCAGGGTTATTATGGGCCTTTTGGCTGCTTCTCTCTGATTAATGCCCTCCTTGCCCAACTGGTCAGTTTAGATGGACGGCCATGTCTAGGTAGGTTTGCAGTTGTGCCATACTCTTTCCATTTTCGGATGATGGATTGAACGGTGCTCCATGAGATTTTCAAAGCTTGGGATATTTATTTATAACCTAACCCTGCTTTAAACTTCTCCACAACTTTATCCCTGACCTGTCTGGTGTGTTCCTTGGCCGTCATGATGCTGTTTGTTCACTAATGTTCTCTAACAAACCTCTGAGGGCTTCACAGAACAGCTGTATTTATACTGAGAATAAATTACACACAGGTGGACTTCTATTTATTAGGTGGCTTCTGAAGGCAATTGGTTCGACTAGATTTTAGTTAGGGGTATCAGAGTAAAGGAGGCTGAATATAAATGCACGCCACACTTTTCAGACATTTATTTGTGAAAAAACATTTATCATTTTCCTTCCACTTCACCATTATGTGCCACTTTGTGTTGGTCTATCACATAAAATCCCAATAAAATACATTTACGTTTTTGGTTGAAACATGACAAATTGTGGAAAATTTCAAGGGGTATGAATACTTTTTCGAGGCACTGTATATATTGTATATTTACATCAGTAACTGCTCTCTAGGAAGGTACAAGGTCTCTAAACTCATATTCATAAACACACATACTAGGGCCAATTTAGACAGGAGCCAATTACCTACCAGCATGTCTTTGAAATGTGAGAGGAAACCTGAGTACTCCAAGGAAACCAACGCAGGCACATGCAAACTCTAGGTACTGTAGGTAGTGTCGTTCTCAGAGGCTCACAAGAAGACATTGGAAGATTGACACGGTGCAGCAGAAGACTGTTGAGAAACAAAGTGGCCTCAAAGGCTGGCGTGACACCAGATACGGGCAAGACAGAATACTCCAAGGACTCAGGAGGAACAAGACTCTAAGTGGCTGCTCGTTTAGCAGAGGTGAAAGCCCTAAGAAGGGTTGAGGCGCAGAGTCTAAGGACCTGCCCGGTATTCCCCAGAGCACACCACAAGTTGTGATGGGATTTGCTGCAGGATTTGCTCCAGGTTGCCACCCAAACAAGCAGCTACAGAGCAAGAAGCATAGGAGACTAGAACAAGGGAGACCAGGAGCACACAGGATCCAGAATCACAGAAGCATGGGGTGCTGGGATCACAGGAATGCAGGAGAGGCTTTGGCAGTACTGGGATGCTGGCGTTACAGGAATGCAGGTGAATCTCTGGGGTGCTGGGCACACAGGAACATAGGTAAGCCAATGTGCTGGGATCACATGAATACAGAAAACTCTCTGGGAGAATTGGGTTCTGGGATCATGGTAGCACTAGAGTTTCTGGGAGCACTGGGGTGTTGGACACATAGGAACACAGGAGAGTCTTTGGGAGCACTGGAGTGCTGGGATCACAGGAGAGTCACAGAGAGGTCACAGAAGAC